ACTGCATATTCCAACACTGTCCCAACCAGGAATTAAAAAAAGTAAGGATATCAGAAACATACTTTAAATTGCTTCGGTGCTTGAGACACTTTGTTATGATTATTTAAAAATGAAAGCATATTATGCAGTATCCTATACTGACTATACACTTTGTTAATGTAGTGTATTTAAAGGTAATAGGAGGTGCTAGATCATCAACTCCAAACAGCTTGTACTGACCCAGGGTGTGCATGTAGTGCAACATTGTTCGGTCAGCATGCTTCAGCTCTAGTTCAGCAAGTAACACTATGCCTATTTTGTCCTCAGGCAAGTCTTAACTGAGGCTGGCAGGAACGTAGAGGAGTAGGACTCTGCACACAAAATCCTTCCAGTACAACACATCAGCACTTGTTCATGAGCTGTTCATCCTCATTTCAGCTTGGGAAACAAAAACACTCCATTTCTCATCCTCTCCACCAGTGATAACATGAATTATCATCTTAAACTAGGAGAAGATATTTAGTTATCTTAGCAGCCTTAAAATCATCTCCAGTTTCTAAAGGGAACAACGAAAACCCTATCAATTACAGACACCATTACGGCTTCACTAGAGCTGATGGGCCTTCGGGGAAAAAAAAAAAGAAAAAAAAAACCAAACCACAAACAAACGCACCAACCCCACAACCACAACAAAAACCTCACAACTATTTCAGTATGGAGAGAAGTGATTTTCATTTATATGTAGTGCTTCCTTTCTGTCTCATGTGGGATACAAGCAGGTAAAAGCCAACGAAGAGAGAAGCCGTTCCTAATAAAGGGCTGTATCTTGGATGAACCAAACTCCCATGACACATCTGCACACCAAGACATTTCACTCTGACAGGATCTGACCCAACTGAAACTTCAACATTCCTTACTGCCAAGTTGGAAAGCAATAAAAAGTGTCCCTTCAAAGAGAGATTAATGAGAAGGTGAAATAGCATAACATACACCAAAAACAGTCGAGTTGTACTACACCTCCTTCAGTTACGTAGAGTTACTGAAGGTTAATAGTTGGTCTGTCGAGATGCAGGAGCACTGAGTAAAATAATATAATGTGATATTTAAGGGATTTTGCAGATGGATAATTTCTTGTCAAAGACTGAATGGACAGTGTAGGCAATTTTCCACTGTACTCTTATTCTAAATTAAGTGTTCACTCAGCCATATGTGCCCCTTGCATTGTATTCACAGCTGCAACAGCCAGCACGTTCTGTTTGTGCCGTGTCTGGTTAGTTAGACAACTTCCATCGCTGCATAAAAGTAATGGTTTGTGCATCCAATATAGTTCATATTTAGGGAATTAGATATAAGGTATTCATATTTATGCATGTATTGTTTACAGTTTGCAGTTTCATGGAAAAACTACAACTTACCTCAAAAAAAAAATTAGCACTCTGCTATTGCTGTTATATTTATGGGCTTTACATAAATTTCCAGATACTTCTATTCTGCATGCAAAACCAGCATTTTTATATACAGAAATGTACAGTCTATCAAAAGAAGATGTATTTCGGTAAGAGGAGTAAAATTTACAAGATGTTCCTTTGCTAAAAGTAATGTAAACATCTTTTGTCCCCAAAAATTTCAGCCCCAAAGAATTTACATCAACACAGCGTCTCATTCTGTATTTGTTAGTCACTTGAGCAATTCCCATAGTAGTAAGTCAGTCTGTAAAGTCTGGAGGACTAGACTAACAGTGTCAAATGGAAAATAATACTGAGGAGAAGTTTATCAACTGCATATTGTTTTAGAAG